ATCAACTACAATAATGAGCTGCGAAAGAATTAAAAATTAGTGCCGTTTACCCTTCTCTCATATGACAAGTCATAAAAAGTCCTTCCTCATCAATTAATAAACATAGTGTAAGAGAAAATATGTAAGCACAAGATCACAATAACAATGGAAACTCAATTTTTAGATATTAATGAGAACAATTAGAATATAAATCACCAAGTTATCAAAAATCTTGATGAGAACAAGACTTGCACCAAGTACCTCTAATCCACGTCTCAATGCCCTCGAAATGACTCACACATTAGAGAGTCAATGATTGACTCTGATCTCCTTCTATAAAAACTTCACCTATAATAGAAGAGAGAAGATTCTAAGAAGAAGAATAAAGTTGATGAAAAGAGAGAGTAGAATCAAGAGAGAGATAGTTGTTTGTCATACTAAAAAAAGAGGAAATACATACCCTATTTATAAATAATAGGAAAAAGATAATCACTTCTTAAAAATAAGCATCTCAATTTACATACAGTTAAGCTCACACAACTCGGATGTGATGGGTACAACCACCCTCTTTCTCTCTCTACATGACCCTTGTAACAGGTCATAAAGGTCAACGTGACTACTATGTCACTGCCACTTTACTCCTTGCATGCCTCCTAAGCAAGTTAGATGGGAGAGATTCTCTCACACATCTCCCGAACAGGTTAGCCAAGATGGACTGACACTGGCAACACACAACAAATATGGCTTCTATTAGTGGACAAAAATAGTTGACGATACATAGAATTTGAGTACTGAGTGTATTTATGGCTACAAGATTGTTAAAGGGTGAAAAATATTTGAAGAAGTAAAGATCAATGATGTAACCATTTTCTTCTTTCTTAAATGGCCTATTCGTCTCACCTACCAATTCTCTTTTTTTTTCCTAAGACTCATTAATCAAGTGGAGGCAATAAACAAGACAAGCATGGAAAAATGTGGATCAGTGATTGCCGGCTTCCAGCTTCAAACCCCCCAAGAAAAACTATGTATGAGAGAAGCTACCAAAGATATGACCACATCTCTGCTGTCTTTTCCCTAGGAAGTGGTAATGTACACACATTTCGCCTTTGTATAGCAGTAGGGCAGTGGTAATGTCCTTGTTTATTCGCTCTGACACTGGAGGTCTTCAAAAGCCGTGAATTGATCTTTGCTGTGGTGACAACATGGGACTAGTTTAGGATGAGCATGGTGGATAGAGAAACTATGGAGTTCATGGGATCGATCTCTTCTAAGAGTACGCACTGTTGCTTATGTGTGTCTCTGACCTATACCATCCTTTAGGAGTGCATATGGCAAAAGCATCAAGGAACTATTGGCAAGTGGAGAAGCAACAAGAACTGCTATAATAGTTTCTGCAAGAGTACTCTTTGATTGACTTAGACTACTACATGCTTTCAGAAGTTTGATTAGAACAAAGCTATACTAAGAGAAAGAAGTGAGGTTTGAACATTAAATTCTTCTTGTTAGATGACCTAGGAATGCTCATAAATATAATTCTATATCCCAATAGACATTAGTTTATATATATTCATATTTGAGCAATTTTTCTTCATTTTTTTGTCGTAGATTGCACAATTGTAAGTGCTTGAATGCGTAAGATATTTTATATTTATTGTTTAAGTGTATTGCAATTTTAAATGATGTTTGGTTGATGCCCTTCAAGCTAAAGTTATGATTCAACTTTAAAAGAAAATGTGCAGATTGAGAGTCTCATATGGGTTGAAACAATCTCTTAAAACCTTGTCTGATAGACTGACATGCTATGACTACTGTTTATTCAATCAAGATAAGCATTACCAACATACAAAATATTGTCAACTCATTTATGTGGCTCCGCTCAAACTTTTATGTGATGTGTTGTAGAATGTAGAGAAACACACCAACACAAGCACAATTAAGGCAGTGTCACCTTTGATAAGATTTTTATTCTTATAATTTTATAACGTTTTCTTGTTCTTCTTCCTCTGAAAACAAATAGATCTTATGTTTCATAGGAAACTTGTTTATAAGACCTGTTTAGTAGCAAGGTTATATAATTCAATTGCATGCTACGAGTAAAGACAAATGCTGCAAACATAATTTTGTCCAAAGAAAACCATGTGATTTAGAGATAGACTTATTTTTTTCAAGACTAAGACTAATAAAAATTATTCCTATCCAATTATTGTGATCACTTTTACTTTCGAACTCAATATTGACCTCAAAGTATTAGACAAATGGATGCTTCATAAACATGGAACATGTAGTGTTGTCATATTTTGTAGTATGAAGTCTCGCTTCATATCTAAGTTTTTGACATTTGCTTTGGTAATAGCTTGACTTCCAAGTGATTGACTTCAAGGGGCCAAGGGAGAAGCCAGATCATTTCCTGGTAATTTGGCAAATGATCCCATTATTTATCTTACCATTTGATCTTCCACATAAAAAAGTACCTTTTAACCCTCGTTATGGATGTAGGAGGATTTCTCTAAATCACATAAATCTTAGTTCATCATGTCTATGTCCTATTTCATTTGTTTTTCATAGATGAAGATTTATATGTTTTTTTATGATTCTTTTAGCATATCATTACTTTGATGGGCGACATGTTTAATTATTCAAGTTTCACTATGAGTATTCATACCCTCAGTATTTAAGCATACTCTAACATTTAAAGACATCTCCCGCTCTTTAAGACTCGTTCATTATAGAGTTAATGTTTTCCTCTGATTTGGAGGAAGTGAACTTGACATAAGGGCTATTACCAATTGTATAAAACACATGGTGGTACAATGAATCACAATTAGATGTTGAAATAATCATTGGTAATGAGTTTATTTAGTTTTACAAGCATAGAATTCAAGGATTAAATACTCCAACACTCCAAGCATGATTTCCACACTAAAAAATCAATAATTTTACATATTTGTCATTATTAAAGCAACTCATCAATTAATAAAACTTTCACACTACCAAGTCCTAACCTCCAACATTCTTATTGCTTTACATATGAATAGTAGGAGAGAGAATAAGGTTGACGCTTTAATTCAATTGACTTTCTATTCTTGGAGGTAATATTTGGTCATGTTTAGACTTATGTCCTTAGCTCTCCTCCTTAGTCCTTGTAATACAAGGTCTCTCTCTCTCTCTCTCTCTACCTCCCTATATTTGTCACTTTATTATTGTTTATTTCTCTTTATCTTTAACTCTATCTTTACTTTTGTTGACATAAGATAAAAAAATTTAGAATTCATAAAACATCAAAGTAGAATATGTGACTCCTATATAAGAGAGAGGAGAGATGAGAATAGATAGATAATGAGTCTTAGTGTACCAAGAGTCTAGTACCACTATTGAACACTCTCCCTTAAGTTGGAGCATATAAGTTGAACATATCTAACTTAGTACACATGTCGTTGTACAAGATGCTGACTAAATTCTTCATGAAGACCTTCACAAATTGATGAGATGATGCCACATGAGGAGTGGAGATAAGTCTAGACATAACTTTATCTCGAATATAGTGACAGTTGATCTCAATGTGCTTCATACATTCATGAAAGATAAGATTGCGGGTAATGAAGATGACGGCTTGATTCTTGAAATGCATGGACATTGAAGATGAAGAAGTAATGTTGAGATTGTCAAGAAGTGATCAAAGCCATAACTAAGATATAATTTCTTGTGCTATCTTAGTCATGGCTCAATATTCGGATTCTACGCTAGAGCTGAACACTACCCTCTGTTTTCAAGACTGTCAAGTGACTAGGTTACCATCAACGTATGTGTAATAACTTGTAGTAGACTTCTGATCACATTTGTCACCTACACACCTGGTGTTAGAGTAAGTTGCAATGTGGAGATGGCCATGTTGTTGATAGATGAGCCCTTTCCTTAGAGCTCACTTGATGTAGGCGAGGACTCGTAGAGCTCCCTCTCAATGAACTCGTTGAGGTTTTTGCATAAATCGGCTCAAGATACTAACTATGTAGATGATGTCAAGATGAGTGATAGTGAGATATATTAGATTGTCCAACAATCATTGATACCAGCTAGTATCATCGAGTAGAGGAGATAAAATGTCCCAAAACTAAGGACAAACTTCCATAGGTGAAGTTTTCGGCTTGCACTTAAGGAGGCCTATCTCCTAAAACATGTCAAGGGCATACTTTCACTAGGTGAGGGTGAGTTTCTTTTCTTGATATGCAAACTCAATCCTAAGGAAATACTACGGAGTCCCCAAGTCATAAATACTGAGGTGCTAACATAGACTACAAGTAGGCTTTAATAGTAGAGGTGCTGGCTTCATCACTTTCACTCACAAGGATATTGTCGACATAGACTACAAGGATGATAAGGCTGTCCTCTGTCTTCTTTGTGAACATAGTGGGGTCTATAGTGTAAGAGGCAAAGTTAGAGGTAGTGAGTAAATCACTAAACTTGCTGAACTAAGCATGTGGACTCTACTTGAGCCAATAAATGACATACTGCATGGGACACAGCTTCGATGACTCCCCCTAAGTAACATACTTAGGAGGTTGCTCTATAAAGACTTATTCCTCAAGATCATCGTAGAGGAAGGTGTTAGAAACATCTAACTAATGGAGAGACCATACCTAATTCATGACGAGAGAGAGAAGCACATGGATAGAGTTGAGGCGAACGACATGAGAGAACATCTTAGTATATTCAATCCCATATGCTTACGTGAAGTCCTGAGCAACCCGACAAGTTTTGTGACAAGCAATTGAGCCATCTGGGTGATACTTGAGGGTAAACACCCACTTGCACGTCACAATGTTGGCATCAATTAGGCATGAAATCAAATGCCAAGTTCCTCAAGCAATCAATGCAGCCACCTCTGAATCTATGGCTTCCTTCCACACATGTACTTGTGTAGCCTCAACATATGACCATGTAAGTGACTTAGAGGCCATGGAAAGGATAAAGGCATGAAAGGAGGGAGAAAGACAATCATAGGAGACAAATTAGGAGATGAGATGATGGGTGCAAGTATATGTGTCTTTGTGGAGGGCGATAGGGAAATGAAGGTCATCAAGTGGAGTAGTGACCGAAGGCATGGAGGGGATTGTAGGAGAGGATGAGGAAGATACTACAACTGGAATAGGAGGAGTCACAAGAGACCTGGGCTGAAGAGAGGCAGGCGTAGGTAATGACCTCAAAGAGAATAGACAGGAGGGAAGAGAAGGGGGGGGTCCACAAGAACAACTAATAGAGGGAACCCAAATGGAGGAGACATAGTGGTGCAAGGAAGAGGAGTAAAAAATGAGGAGAAGAAAGGAGACTCATGAAAAGTGACGTCGGCTGGGTCATATAGTGACAGGTATTCGAGAAGTAGACTCGATAGCCCTTTTGCGTGTGAGGTTAGTCAACTAAAGATCCTTTTAAGAGCATGAGGGGTGAGTTTAGAAAGAGAAGGAGAGAAATCCTAGACAAAGGTAGTGCATTCAAAGACCTAAGAAGAAAGAGAAAAAAGAAGAAAATCAAAGATTAAGCAGCAGAGTGGAATGGCCTCCCCAAAAAGAGTGGAGAGAAGTCAATTTTGGAGATACATGGTAGTTAGAAAGGCGTCAGCCTAGAGATAATGGGAGAAATTCATCTCAAGAAGAACTATGCGAATGATGTCAAAGAGTTGACAATGTTTGTGCTTAGCAACATCATTCTATTGTGAAGTGTGGGGGCAAGTGGTATGGTGGAGGATGTCACGATTAGTACACAAGGTATGGAGAGAAGACTAGACAAACTCAAGGGTGTTATCAATATGAAGAATTTTAAGCATATTGATGTATTGGATGATAATTTCAATAATGAAGTGGATAACCACAGTGATGACCTCAAAGTAGTTGCGGAGGAGGTAAACCCAGCTCACACGAGTGTAGTCATAAATAAAAGCGATGTAATAGTGATGACTCGAGATGGAAGAAATATGAGATGAACCCCATACATCGTAATGGAGAAGGTCAAAGAGAGTGGAAGAGGGGATGTCATCATGACTAAGGTAAGAAGTGTAGTGATGTTTGCCTAATTGATAAGACTTGTATGCAAACTTAGAAAGAAAAGTCATATTATTTTTTTTTGTAATTTAGAGAAACAAGGATAGCTGAAACGACGATGTCACAAAAGAGAAGAAGTGGCTATAAAAGTGAGAAAAAAGGGCCTAAAGGCTAGAGGAAGGTTCGTTAGAAATGAGTTCATAGACACCCTGCCTGTTTTCATGACCCATTCGATATGTAGATCCTGAAAAGTACAATGAAAGAAAAAGAATATGACGGTACAGAGGAGGCTATGGGAAATAACATTGATGAAAAGAAGGCTAGCAAAAAAACTAGGAATGTAGAGAACCTGAGTGAGGGGAAGGGAAGAAGAAGCCGAGGTGGCACCATGACTTTTAACTAGACAAGTCTGGTAATCAACAATGGTGACAGGGGGATGGGTCAAGGTAAATTGATAGGAGGAGAGAATAGTGGGGATACTGGTCATGTGGGTGAAAGCCTTTGAATCGATAAACCACAGTGTCTAAGAAGAAGAAGATCATGTGTAGCTAGCGTGGAGGAGGCCAGAAGTGAGGTGAGACTAGTAGAGGTAGAAGCGTCACTACCACTAGTGTGACAAAGGGTGTCATACTCCACAAGCATCAAGGTCACATGGTAGTAGGAGCTAGAACATGGGATGAAGTGGGGGACAGGGGAGTTAGAGAAGTCATCACCGGCTGCTCGGAAGTGGGCTTACCAAATTGCCTCTAATACTTAGTAGTCGAATGGTTCTACTTCTTGTAGTAGGGACAAAGAGGAAAAGTGTTGCGCCCACATTTGTGAAGAGGATGACCACTATTAAGATAGAAAGGGGGGTATCATCTCGAGCCAATAGAGCAATCATAATAAGAGCCAAAGAAGTAGAGGTGATGTCTAAAAAGGAAGTAGAGGAGTGAATAGGTGTACCAGTGGTGACTCGAAGGGCTACTAAGAAGATTGAGGCGAGATCAAGCATGTGATATTCTAGAGAGAATAGACTCCCAAATCTAGGATGTGATGGACGGATGAAGCCCATTGAAATAGACCCCAGCATGAAACTCTTGGTGATAGTGTTGAAGGGTCAAGAGGTCGATAGTAAAGGGCTGATAGATATCCACCTCTTGGATGAGAGCTTAGAGGTGACTGTAGTGAGCCTGAAGAAAAGGATCACCTTTATTTGCAAGAGAAAAGAAACTCAAAGATTGATAAGTCTTTATTATCATGAGTTAATAATTAATAAATAATATAGTTTTAGCTTTAACTCATGATAAATAGACTTATAATTGTGTTAATTTGTGAAAAGTAGTTTTTTATTAGTTAATGTGATTTTATATGAGTTCATATGATTTTTATTACCATATTTTTGAGATAAATGAAGAAAAACAAAATAAAAAAATAAAAAGGGGGACCCACTGGCCAACTAGGCTAGGCCTACAAATAGGTTAGAAGTATAATTGAGGCAAAGCCACGAGCAAGGGCTCGAGCCACTATGAACCGATGGGGGCACGTGTGCGCCACTCCCCTTCCACGTCAGTGGTGGCCAGCCAACTATGGGGTAAGGAGTTGTTGCACATGTATGAGAAAGGGACTCATTGATTCCCAAATCTCGTGTTACTATATATTTGTCTTCACATTCAGCGTATAGCCAATGTGGGACTAAACCGGCGGTCATACCTTCCCCATAATATTTTTAAAGATTTTAATACCTAAAATACCCTTTCTTTAGGGTATTCGAGAACTTATTCCCTCTCTCTCATGTAGGCAGACGACTAGCGTGGGTTTGAATCCTAACAAAGCTAAAATTTGTATTTTTAGTTCATTAAATCATGACTTTCCTACATATCATCGATGAAGGTTTAAGCTGTCAAAATCGCTTGTTCATCAACAAAAATTTCATCAACATGATTCGCAGAGTATTGTTACTAAAATTATTAAACGTGTTGCAATAAAAGGATCGTGAATTCATTGAATAATTGATATCTGATTGATCGACGAATAAGTCATCATTGGGAAGAAGATGATATGTCGAAAGACGAGTTGTCACCTCTTAAAAGTGTACTAGATGCAATGAAGAGTCTCCTCTTGCTACGTAGACCTGAGGATGAAGCTCCCTAACAGTTGTCAGAGAGCTGTTGAGTGACAACCATCAGAGAGCCGTAAAGTTGCTAGCTTTTCTACTCTATCGTGTGACAGCCATCAGAGATGATTTGACAACTTTTTTATCAATCTTTGGACTTTACAAAAAGACTTAGAGATTACCTACATTGTCTTTGTCAAAAGAGAGCCTTTGAGACTGTGGACACTACACAACAATCCTCTCAAATACTCAAAATTCTAATACATCACCAATACATTATTGGCATGATGCTAAAACTCTATTTTACTATTTTTTTAATTAGTTCAACTTTCATCATCATTTCTTAGACTTCAAAAAGAGATCCAATGAATGCTTAGGTTGTCCATATCCAAAAAGAACCTTTGAGACTATAGACATCATTCGATGACCCTCTTAAACACATAAAATTCTGATGATTACTATTGCAAGGTCGAAACTCTATCTTTCCTACTTTTAATTTAATTTTCATTCCACTTAATGATAATTTGCGTGATTTAAATTTATCAAGCTATTCTTCATTCAATTATGATTCTTTTAGATTTTACATATCTTAATTTGATCAATTAAAACGTTCGTAATCGCTTAGGTAAGAATCACCAAGCAGAACTTTATTTTTGTCCAATTCACTTTCATTGGGTGTTGACATCATCTTGACATCTGCAGCCTTATTTCTTTTTTCTATTAATTTGAAATATATTTTATTTTTATTTTTTAATATAAAATTCATAAAACATCATATTCTTTGAGAAAATTTTTGAAAAATTACTTGGTATTATATTACATCCTTGTGACCGACTTGGAAAATTCTCACTATTTTAAAATTTTTATTGAATTATAATTATATATTTGTTAACAAATACTTATAAATATAAAAAATCAGTATTTTCTAGTTATATAAATTTTAAATTTGTGATTTATTATATGACTAAGTCACATCAAAGATCTCCATAATATGATTGATGTTCGTCTGGTTAATATACATGGTCTCTATAGTAAGCCATAAGAGACGAGCCGAGGTGATGTGCAATAGTGGCTTAACAATGTTGGCTCAATGCTTTGAAGTATCCACGTGATGACCACGTGATGATAGTTAAGTTGAACTATGACTATGTCATATATGAAGGGTCCTGAAGATCGAGTAAGTCTTCTAAGAGATGGTGGAAAAAATTGTGAGATTGAAGGAAGAGCTCAAAACCAAAGGCCCACGGCAAATAATTGTGGCTATTGAAGATGTACACTAGTCAAATAAGTTGCGCCGTGATACAGTGACGAGCTAGAGGAATCACTGGAGAAGGGAGAATAGTAGTCGGAAGAAGCTCGAAGGGCTTGGAGGCAGGTGACAGAGGAGGGTGAGACAACACCATGAGGTCGGCAAGTCCGGACTGGAGGGGCAAATAGTGGGGCAAGCGAGTTGGGGCCCAATGGCCTGGTCCAAAGGGGCTGGTAAGGTTGCATTGGGGCCAGCTGGGCTGGTCCCGAGTGGGCAGGTCCAGAAGAAAACCATCGGCTGGGCTGGCACTGATGGGCAGATTGGCGGGCCGGTTGGGTCACTGGGAGGTGGGTGGAACCTTAGCCACCATGGCTGGACGGCAATGGTTACCGTGATAGCGATGGCGAGGGCTGGGGTGCGACAGCAAGGGGGCAATGGCAAAGGTGCGACAGTGAGAGCAAGGAGGGACCTCGACGGCGGCAGCAGCACCTTTGGTACCTGAGAACGATGGTGCCCATGACAGCACAATGGCGAGGGTGTGATGGTGAGGAAGGGCCTCGACAGCGACGACGATTGTGGAGACATCAGAGAAGAGGAGGAGAGCAATGACACTGGCGAGGGGCAACGGTGGCGAGGAGGGTGGTGCCGAAAGGAGAAGGAGAGCGATGACGGAGATGACGACACCGGAAGAGAGATGAACAGCAATGCCGAAGAGGAAGAGAGTGGCACACTGGAGATGGGCAATGCAACAGAGAGGAGGACGATGATGAACGATAACTAAGGCTCTGATACCATGCTGACACAAGAGGAAAAAACTCTAGAGTTCATGAAACATCAAAGTGGAAGATGACTTCTATATAAGAGAGGAGAGATGAGAAGAGATAGATAATGGGCCCTAATGGGCCAGGAGTCCGATACCACTATTGAACAGCTCTATTTGTTCTCAATCTCTATCTCACTCTCTCCCTCGTCAGGTATCTCCTTCCAAAATTCTTCACCCATCTGTTCTATAATATTTGTTCTTAATTTTCTCTGAATGACACCATTGAAAACGGCACAAGATAGTGTGAGTATTCCTTCAGAATCATCAAAGAAAATGCACCCTAGTTGGTGCTTATTTTCATTGACAACTAGGCGATAATACGTCCACATATAGCTGCGACCAGAGAAGACGCGTGCTCTAAACAACACAGGTTACATAGGGCGCCCGTCCATGGCCGTCGATGGGGACGCCTCTTCTTATTTCTTTTGAACGCACCGATACATCAGGTACTTCGTATTATTTGACTAGGGAACTATGAGCAAAGTTCATGGCCGGCCTCCCCCCGCCTAGGCGCAGCATTGATAGCAGTACCCGTCAATCCACGAGCAGCATAGGCGGCAACAGTCACCAAGTATCGGTTCTTGACAACAAGTATAGCAAATTCCGCCTACGTAACTGCAACATTGATAACAGCAGTATTGCATGTCTTGGTTGGGAAGGAAGTGTGCCGTCCCCCGCGTCGCTATGCTGTGGGCACCTGGAAAAACGTTTATCGAATGAAGGTTCGGTCTGATTAACAGAACGAGCTTCGCCCATTTTCACGCCAGAACAGATATCAACCGGAAGGAACCTCAAAATGAATTGTACTAAACAGCTCTTACCTGCGGGCAAAGGTGGCTCGGCGGCGTCTGCGAGGGACGAGAAGAGGGCCAGTCCAGGGACGAGGATGGTTAGAATTATTAACAGATGCTTTGAAGTCATCTTTCTTTCGGACCCTCCCTTTGAATCCTAGATACTCCACTCGGGGATGGCAGACAAGAGATGTAAGAAGAGTGATGCTCCCATACTCTTTCGTGCACCTTATCTATAGGAAACGCTGGGAGTGACGTTCAGATCAGTCTACCATTGACTCCTACGATTGGTGGAAAAGATCAAAAGTCAATTATAAGATCTACCTTGGCTTTGAATGGAGGCGCTCTTCCTCATCTGCACCAAAAGTCACATAACCCATTGGGTATGGAGTCTTGTTCAAAACCGCGTAAAGGCAATGAATTTCGTTCCAATCTACTTGAGGACCAATTCAGCAGTGACTTCTAGAAAACACCGAGACATATACTCCTTTTGCTAGCATATCATAAATATTTATTTGACAGTACTACTCCACCGCGTGAAATAATCCTTTGCCTCCCATGAGGGATAACGTCTATGCGTGTAAAGTATGAATTATTTAATGCATTCCCTGTTTATTTTGTTTCGTAATCTTTTCAATATGCTGCGAGAGAGGTTGTTGGTGCCTTGTAGTCGAGCACTTTAATTACTTACGTTTCGTAAGGAAACGGTCGATCCCAGCAAATATAACGTGTGAAATTAGCATACATGGAAATGTTTTCTGAGTACCATTTGTACTTTTACTTGACCTTCCACGGAAGTATTTATTGAAGAAATTACTAACATGAAATATAGATTTATAGCCATTCTGAAAATGTTTTGAAACAATGGATGCAGAAAGATCGTTAAAAGCCTACTTAATAGACTCGGAATGGCCCGAATCAACCCACGAGTGACAAATCAATGAATAAGACGACTTCAGAATGGCCTGAGTCTATGACATCCTCATATGCTGTTGAGCTTATATAATTTTCTATCAAATGGACAATCTTCTTGTTGCAGCTTCTAAGTCGAGGATTTTGTACTGCATGCCATGCGTGAAATTTCTTTAACTATGTTATAAAAGCTCTTCTAGCGATATCCATGATCGCCTCAAAAACAGATCTGGGCCTATAGAAGAAATGATTTTTAAAATTGGGTTATACGAATATGAACTGTTTAACGGATAGACTCTAATAAAACTAATTTTAACTAGGTCTATCCTAATTAAACAATCGACGTCAAAACAACATCTCTCTATCTGCCTGTCTGTCCGTCTGTTTGCCACTCTCTCTCTCTCTCTCTCTCTCTCTCCCTCTCTCTCTCTCTCTTCTCGTGCTCTATCTCCGGCTCTCTGCCTCTCGGTCCCGCTCTCTTTTGCTACCTCTCGCTCTCTCTCTCTCTCCGACCCTCTCTCTAATTTACGCCATTTCATTTCAATTCAAGGACACAATATGTTCGAGTTTTGAATGTAACCTAAGAATATGGTAGGATATTTTAGGAAAACTATATGGGATTTATAAATTAACTGTAAAACTGTATCTCTTTCATTCTAAGGATTATAATATATATACGTTGCCTTGAAGTCAAAGAGCCATCACCATTTTCAAGGACAAAC